GATAATAATCCTACCTCTGCGCCATTTAAAAAGCAAACGGTCTGGATTCGAGGTTGATGGAGTGTTAATATTACGCGCGCCTGTCATTTCCAAACGGGCCGTAACCAAATAAATTTCCTCTTTTCTCTGGCTGATGGCGTGCAAAACGACGATGCCACTTTAGAATCTTTTCATTTTATATTGGCGATTTTGTCTTGGTCAATAAAGCGAAGAACTTATAAAATTACCTATACCTACCTTTGACAAACGAGAGGATCTTAATTTAAAATCACCGCCAACGGGATTCAGTGAAGAATAACCACAACGCTGATGAATTTTGCAAACGAATTGGAGCTCATTTTTAATAATTATCAAAACATGTAGTACCCGATGGTTCCTCGAAAAAGAATTTTAATTTGAAAATAGTATAATTTTCAATATTATCAATTGCTTAAGTAAATAACACTCTGTATATCAATTTTATCAAAGTGTGTCGACGAGTCAGCATTAATTTGCTATAAATACCGCGCCCAAATCCATTACTGGCATACTAAGACTAGTGCAAAGTACCTAAATTGGAAAAAACCCCTCCAGTCTCCTTCTAGTGCAAACTAGCCTTATTGGGAAACGCCCTTCTAGGAGTATTGAACGCAACAGATTAGGTCCAGTGCAAACTACCTTTATTGGGAAACGGCCTTCTGGACCTGTCTCAAATCCAGCTTCAGTCTTCAGTCCCGCCAAGTGTACAGAGTGTACATAATACAGAGTGGCCTAAGTAATACGTCCCTCCGTAGAAGAGACGTCATGGTATTATTCCTAGGGTAATATAATTCTATACTATATTCAATACATAGTTTATTATACCAATACCAAGCGAGTTTCTTTCTACCTGAACCCCACCTTTGCCCCCAGGTCACCCTTTTGTTGTGACGACCCAGGACGAAACGTATAGGGGTTGTGACAATAGTAGATAAGCAATGAGAGAACCGACCGAATTTTCCCCATTTTTCCATGTAAATCGCCATAAGAAAATCTAAGGTTCCCGCTATTTTTATTTTGTACCAAAAAAGGGTGGGGGGTAAAATAAGATACGCTCTTGAAGAGGCCTAACCCAAACGGTAAAATTAGCCACGTTCTTGAAGGGGCCTAACCGAAGTAGCAAGCCCCAATTTGAAGAGGCCTAACCCAAGTGACGTCAGCAAAGGGTTACGTTATACGGGGCGGCATGTGTTTTGCATTATCCGTCAAATATCACCTGTCATTATTGACAGCTCACCAATTTTCGAAAGCTTTTGCAAAATTTGGTATTTCATAACTTGTTACCCCGTACAAGGTGACAGGTACTCCGTGACTTGTTACCGCACACGCCATACAAGGTAGCTCATACTGATGATGACGTAATTAATAATGGAAAACTATCTACGTAATCATTTATAAAGTCCTAATTTTTCGGCCAAATGGAAACTAAACAGGTCGGTATACAGGTCTAGAGACAGGTCTGTATACACAGCTCTTAAGGTCTAGAGACAGGTCTGTATACAGCTATACAGGTCTAGAGAGAGGGCTTCATACAGCTATACAGGTCTAGAGACAGGTCTGTATACAGCTATACAGGTCTAGAGACAGGGCTGTATACAGCTATACAGTTCTAGAGACCGGCCTGTATACAGCAATGGTAAGCAAGGGTTAGTTTGGGCTAGTTATAGGTTAGCATAGGGCCCCCCCCACGCTGTTGGGTCAGTTAGGGAAGATTCGTAACTGATCCAACGGCGTGGGGGGCCCTATGCTAACCTATAACTAACCTAAACTAACCCTTGCTTACCATTGCTGTATACAGAACTGTATAGCTGTATACAGCCTTGTCCCTAGACCTGTATAGCTGTATACAGACCTGTCTTTAGACCTGTATAGCTGTATACAGCCCTGTCTCTAGACCTGTATAGCAGTATACAGACCTGTCTCTAAACCTTTATAGCTGTGTATACAGACCTGTCTCTAGACCTTTATAGCTGTGTATGCAGACCTGTCTCTAGACCTGTATACCGACCTGTCTGTACGAGCTACCTTGTATGGGGTATAAGGTACGGGGTACCTGTCATCTTGTACGGGGTAACAAGTTATAAAATACCAAATTTTGGAAGAGCCTTCGAAAATTGGTGAGCTGTCAATAATGACAGGTGATATTTGACGAATAATGCAAAACACATGCCGCCCCGTATAACGTAACCCTTTGCTGACGTCACTTGGGTTAGGCCTCTTCAAATTGGGGCTTGCTACTTGGGTTAGGCCCCTTAAAGAACGTGGCTAATTTTACCGTTTGGGCTAGGCCTCTTCAAGAGCGTATCTTATTTTACCCCCCACTCTTTTTTGGTACAAAATCAAAATAGTGGGGACCTTAGATTTTCTTATGGAGATTTACATGGAAAAATGGGGAAAATTCGGTCGGTTCTCTCATTGCTTATCTACTGACAATATATGTAATAAAAATTTTAGTCCTTTAGATAAAAAATTTAGAGGATCATGATCATTTAACTGGAAAATACCGAGGTCCAGCACATAGTATTTGTAATTTGAACTACAACTCCTCAGTTTCATTCCAATGTTTTTCCACAATCCAACAAGATATGATAGTAATCTATTCATTAAACAACATCCACACACAGCAAGTGTCACTGTCAACTCCTTCATCCGTCAGATTATATTACCTGACAGCTTATCAGAAGGTGAATAAACCGGGCCTTAGTTCTTAGCAGATGATTCTTCCACTAGTACTCCATTACAGTATTATAAAAATTATTGATATTTTATACATTTGAGGCAGCTAGCAAAATATTGAAGCTGGTAAAATGGAAAAACCTAATTATTCTCGTCGCGCAAACAAAATTAAGCTCGACTAAAAAGGCGAGAAAAAGCAATTTAGGTGCGAACAAAGGGAGGGTTGTCACTGCGGACCTATACTCTAGACATCTAGTTTAGCTAAATTAATTTTCAACCCCGTTGGCTACGCCGCGACACCTCTTCTTGTGCGGTAAATTCTCACTTTTCATATAAATATTTCAAATCTCAACAAGTTTATTAGATATAGAAAATAAAAATACAAACATCTGTGGAATGTTTTTCGTAGAAAACTCATTATGAGTTTCATGAAACCAACAACTTTCTTTCATTACGTAATTTTATTTTTTTAAGAAAACGAATCTCCATTACCACTATAATTCGTACAAGATAGTGCACAGTTACCCTCAATTCTCCCTACCCATCAGGTGTACTTTATTCCCCCCAGGTTATCACTGTCGTATATCTTATCCTTCCCAAAGGGTGAGAATTGCGGTTTCGGGGTGAGCTCTGTCCTGGACGATAAACCAGATTGCGCCTGATAAATAGTTTTCACCTGCTTATCCTCTTCCTCCAATTGTAAACTTGGAGAAAGCAGACTTGGGGAGACAATTAGATTAATTGATTTTAGATTGGAAAAATTTATGTCGCACATTTCAAACTCAGTTTATATAATTTAATATTGTCAATTTTAGACGAAAATTATTCCAGACGGAACTCTCCCAGTTTACGTCACGTATTTGCCCAACTTCAAGTTGTCCATTGTCCAATCACTAAGTGACTTTAGTTGATTACGTGACTCTGGTGCATAATTTTTTCTTAAATAATCAAATTTAAGGGCCGCGATTGTTAATTAAATTTTATGAAAAATCGTTTGGCAGCAGCAACAATTAGGTTGCTAAAGCACGTCCTGGGGTTCCAGCTCGGCCGTAAAATTTCATTAGGCACACATATGTGCTATAAAATAATTTAAATAATTACTCGTAAACATGAGCATTACGGGATAATTGGATTAATTTTTTTGCGGTGTGCGGTTTTTCTGTTACACGATGTTTTTTTTGAAAAGTAATGATTTTTTTTTTTGTTTGGCATTAAACCCATATTTCATATGGTTTGAGCTTTCAAATAAATGAATAACGAATTTTTTAGCAGCTTGTGAAGGGTTATAGTTTGTTTCTATATATATAATTTGCCTCAAAGTTCACTAGCAGCCATAAGTCTTTTAGAGGTTTCGTTATTTTCAGAAACTTTAACTTTGTAGAATGTGGAAAGTTAAATGTTAATTCTTATTGTTGTCAGAGTTTTCAGCAGTTTGAAATAGATCTTTGAACAAATTTTGTTGCATGTATTTCCAAACACCCTGTATAATGCAGTTTTAGGTCCTGATTATCTCTTCATTAGTTTCCAGTGCCTGAATTTTTGAATCAAGTTTTTAGAATTTTTTTTTCTATTCGTCTAGCTGAATATGAAGTAACAAATACTAAAAACAAATCAAATGCAAACAATCTATCAGAATATGATTTCGGACTTTATATCCTTCTTCGGCAATATTTATCAGGAATTCACAATAACGTTCGGCCATCGGAATATATTATTTATCATTTCCCAGATATCTGGGCACGATCTCTCTCACTGAAAAGATGCCGGAGAGAAATCGAAAATGTAAATTTTCCGATCGTCACGTACGGCAGCAAAATACATATTTCCGTTTCGGCACAAAATATTTTCTAATTCTTCATCGTCTATATGTACGGGGAGGAAAAAATCCGCCTCGATAACAAAAATAAAATATGGACGGTACGTGGCCCTATATAACTCATCCCTCGGATGCGATTTTTACCGCGCTGAAACATTCGTCATGCGAATGCATTTAGTTTATGGCACTTTCAATTGGTGAGATTGGATATATTTTTTGACCCTTATTTCCGGATGTGAATCGTGTAATCGGACGTGAAGGGAGCGTGTCAGCGATTTTCCAAACCGAAAGGTTTTATGGAAATTGTCTTTTTGGGAAATGTTTAGCATCGAATAAAGAATAAATTTGGCATAACTTTTGGCGACTTCAATAATTCAAACCTATAATTCAAATTTTCAAGACTTTTGTCTTGAATATTGGATAATCTTAACATACCTATGCAATTTCCACCTGGAAGGAATATTTGACATAACGTCATTCAATTAAATAACAAAATTATCAGAAACCAAAGCAAAATTTTTCGTGAGTCCTCCAATAATAATAAACCAACCCCAGCTTAAAAATGGTGATGGATCAATTTGTAACAACCTACAGAAAAGACTACTTATGGCCTTACGTGCGGACTTTGGGCGTCAGGCCCTACAACGAGCCCAAAGATCGACTTACGCCCTGCGAATGCCGCGGTCTCAGCGACTCCAAAAGGTACGCCGATCCCGTGGCACAGATGCTGGGACCTCACGCCTACGAAGGCGAATCCTGGAGCCGACTGGGACCGATGGGTCCTTTGCTGGATCCTAAAGTTTATCCGGCGAAAATGTCGGCGGCACCCGAAAGTCAACTTAGTCGGTACGACCAACCGAATGTATTCTTGGCAAAGGTAAATAATATATAATATAGTACCCACCATGTATACGATAGCACTCACCTCCAATGGGTAGGTACTTCTTATGCATTTATTGCCGTTTAAATATGAGTTATTAATTGATGAATCAAGAGCCGAAATAATAAGAATTTGGGCTATTATTGCCTTTTGAAAAATTTGCTACCGAAAATATAAGATAATTCTATATATTTATTACCGGCTCTTGATTGCCTTTAGAAAAAGATTCAAGGATCAGTTATAACCATAATTTGGATCATTAAGTGGTTCTTAATTATTGTCTTTTAAACAATTTGCTAGCGATTCAAGAGCCAGGAATATAAGAAAATTTTGATTATACCGGGTCTTGATTGCCTTAATTCAGTGAATCAAGAGCCGGTAATAATCAAAATTTGAACTAAACTGCTGGACAAATGAAACGGAACAAGCTAATTTTTAGGTTAACTTCAAATTAAAATATTACGCGAACTGAAAAAAATATCAGTGAGCGGTTTGCGAAAATTAACTTCTAAATTACGCAAATCACTCATTGAAAACTTCTTTAGTTTGCGTTATATTGGAATCCAAAGTTTAACTAAAAATTCGCTTGTTCCGCTTCATTTGTCCAGCAGTTTATTACCGGCTATTGAACGCCTTTAGAAAAAGATTCAAAAATAAGTTATATCATAATTTGAACGATAAGTCCGGTTCTGGATTGTCTCTTGAACAATTTCCTAGCGATTCAAGAGCTGGGAATATAAGAAAATTTTGATTATTACCGACTTTTGAATCGCTGGACAATGAGAAAGTTGCATAAAATTTTATTTTCATGCAAAATGTATTTGAAGTGAAGCAAAATACTCTAGAATTTCTTTTTTATATTCAAATCCTCTTTATACTGAACCACTAATACCCCAGGCAAAATCAAGAGCAGGGAATATAAGAAAATTTTAATTATTACAGGGGCTCAACTGCCTTGAGCAGAATAAATCAGCGAATCAAGAGCCGGTAAAAATCATAATTTGAACTATTACCGGCTCTTGATTGACTTTAGAAAAAGAATAATCAGTTATAATCATTATTTGAACCATAAGTGGTTCTTGATTGTTTCTTGAACAATTTTCCAAGGATTCATGAACCGGGAATATAAGAAAATTTTAATTGTTACTGGCTCTTGATTGCCTTGTACAGAATAATTATAGCGAATCGAGAGCTGGTAATAATCAAAATTTGAACTATTAAAGGCTCTTGATTGCCTTCAAGAAAAGATTTAAGAATCAGTTATAAGGTACCTGTCCCAAATAAGGCCACATTAAGAGGTGTTATTTTTTCCCAGCATTAGCCACCAAACCCAACAAAAATTACGGGCTTATATGTGAAGTGTTTCGCTTCTATTACTCGAATATTAACTCCAATTTATTTAGTTTTTTATATAAGTGCTGGTTTTTGCGTAAAACAAAGATGCTTACAATTGGCCTTATTTGGATCACTATGCTCCTAATAAGGCCACCATTGAAAAATGTTTAAAATAAATACAATTATTTATAAAAATATTATTATTTGAGCAATACTACACAAACTAGAACTTATACGTTTGCTACATTCCTAAAAAATAACAATAATTCCAAGTCCTGGGGTGGTGATCCAAATAGATCTACATACAACTAGGAAAAATGAACCGCAGCATCTCTTGCTTGGTTAGACTCCAGACTGCGTTTCGAAAAATATCACTGAGGTAATAATATGACACATTCTTTAAAAAATACACTGTGATGTGAGGGAAATGAACATTCTTCGTATGATGGCCTTATTAGGAACATGTTAAATTGATAAAAAAAAAGTCTGTAACTAGAAATCTAGCAAAGACATTATTCTGTACCTACTCTGTAGTTTTCTCAATACATAAATGTCCATGTAAAAATTACATTCGCTCCGTTTACTTTACGAACATGTGTATAAACCAATTAAGTTCCAGCCTCAAAGTTATAACGTGACATATGAAATATGTGGTAGGCCATTTCTCGACATATAACGAGTTGCTAGGAACCCTCGAAATAATTTTTGATTTGCATTATAGAATTCTTTTTTAATAATATTGTAATTTTTGAAAATGGGATTCAATATTGAGCAATAAAAGGCACTGGCCTTATTAGGTACATGGCCTTATTTGGGTCAGGTACCTTAATCATAATTTCAACCATAAGTGGTTCTTGATTGTCTCTTGAACAGTTTTCCAACGATTCAAGAGCCGGGAATAAAAGAAAATTTTGATTATTACATCAAGAGCCGGCAATAGAAAAAAAATTGATTATGATTCTTGATTGCCTCTAGAAGTTCTGGAAAAATCGATTTTCTACTTTTACAAAGAAACTAAATATTTCCCGTACCTACTACGTCGGAGTTTTGAACTTTCTTCGACTTCCGCGAATTTCATCAATATACATAATTGGAAATTAAAAAAGAATCTTCACAGAATTCAGTCTGCCTGAAGTTGAAACTTAACATAATTTACAAGGACCCAATCTCCAATCTGTTCACATAATTTCTACTTCTTCCTCCATTTAAACTATTTTCATTTTTGTTTATATCGTTGACATTGTTTTCATTTTATTTCTGCCCACTCATAGACGTCAGCTTGGACAGGAATACTGTGGAAGGTACTAACGTGGTACTTGAATAATCCATCTGTAATTCGCGTTATGTCCTCAAAGCGTCGCCTGTGACTTTGTATAACTTTGCAATTGTCAAGTTAAGTCAACCTTTAAGTAGCAAATAAGCAGAGGCAAGGAAAAAAGGGAAGAAATTTTTTGAAGGCTAAGAAAATCCTCAGAACCTAGATTTTTTTTTTTTAGTAAATTTTAATAAAAATCCCTTGAGGGTTGACAAAGCTTTTTTAATTTTTGATTGTTTAATTTTTTTAAATCTAGTTTTGTTCACTTGTATTTTATTTTATTAAGTGCTCTTGTTGTCTTTATTGTTCTACTGGAAAGGAGTTTAGATTCTCGAATCATAAGACATAATCCATATTCCATGCATTTGTTGTTCTCAAGTTCGCCTGGATGCCCTATGTGTAAACCCTTATTGACGAGTAAGCTTATAAATAACTCGTTTTTTATAATATAATACGTAACATCTTCTATAATTATTTTTAGAATTGATCCTGAAGATAACCTGTAATTAGGTCGAAAGCGCTCGGTCTTTAATAAAGAATTACACCATTACAAACCTGACTCATTCTTTATAATTGATAGGTACTTTTTTTGTATTCTTCCAGACATCCCTGGATCCCTACAATATTGTTTCAGGCTGGCCTTGATCGAACTTCCCTGAATTCTCACAAACTTCCTCTAAATTTTCATTCTTTCATCCTGCACCTGTCATTTCTTTTATTTCTTTTTTTTTTCATATCTTACTAGCTTTATTGTTTTCTGGTCTTTTTTTTATTATTCTTTCTTTTGTGTTTTCTTCCTTCACTTTCAGCCATGAAACTTCTAGATATGTATGTTTTTCCCACTGTTTTTCCTTTCTAGTTTCCCTAAATCTCCCAATCACTGTAGACTTTGGTATTAGTTAATCTTCAATTTTGCTTCACCTTATTTTTTCGTTTAATTTGTTTTTAAATTCTTGTTTGTTTGATTTTTTATTATAGTTTCTGTGGCTGGATTATAAGACACCGGGCTCTTATGATTTGGATTTTTAAAAACATTGTCCCATAACTTTTTTTTCATTATAGAATAGATAGAAAGTTGAAATTTCCACCGATTGTGATCCCAGTGGACGATAACAATCCCTGAAAATTTCAGCTCATTTGGACTTATAGTCCCAGGAATAAAATCGCTTTAAGCAATTTGGAGTGAATTTATCCATTTTTCAATTTTCTGAGTGCCTTTTTTTATTTCGACTTCAAATCAAATAGTGTATGCAGTTTAGGAAGTCTCAACTGATCATAGAAACGCAAAATCTCAACACAAAAAAATTTGAAATTTCATCATTAGTAGATACCTACTAAGGTACCTTATGATTTGAATTTTTAAAAATTTTGAAGACCCATAACTTTTTTTCTATTTTAGATAGAGAGCTAAAATTTTCAGCGATTCTTACTTCTAGTGGAGGACTACAATCCCTGGAAATTTCAGTTCATTTGGACTCAGCTGAACCAAATATCAACATACCGGGTGTCTACGAGATCAGTTTCACGCTGGCATTTGCTGTTTTTTTTTTTTCGATGGCAAAGATTTTTGGTATAGAGTGTAGGTTTGAGAAATGTCATATTTTGAGAAAAATGCGAGTGCCAAGATGTTATCCTTTGCTTGCTCTTCAAAGGCATCCAAAGTTGAAAAAATCACATTTTGCGTGATAACTCAATTGAAATCAGTGAAATCACCCAACTTTCACAACAAGAGTTTTTTACCTTTTTCAAAATAAAACCAACTATGCAATGAAACTTTTCATTTATGTTAGTTTTTAATTATTTTCTTATTATTTTTATAATGCACTACAATAAATGATAAAACTACTTATAAATGAACCCCTGTATGAAGAACGCTTTCCAAAAGGAGCTGGTGTTTTTTTTTTTTTTTTTTCTTGACAAGATCTGTGGGCAAGATATGTTTATTTGTCATTGTTTGACATCTTGGGAATTTGTAAATACAAAGTTTGAATACAGGGGTTTATTTTTAAGCAGTGACGCTTTAACCTTTCTCTGGCCCGTAGGTCAATTATTTGGTATGGCCTTTCATGGAGTGATTGTTCTTTTTTATGGGGTTGAATAAAATCATTTAGGGCCGGTTTATCAATCAAGGGATAACTCGCAGAGTTTGCTGGTCCTGGGCTAACTCTAACTCTGGGCTAACCTAACTACCTACTCAATTCGAAAAGTGTTTATCCAAGCTTTTTCAATCCAGGGCTTGTAAACTCTCGGGTTCTTTGAAGGTTGGCATTACTTATGCAACGTTGCTAGCTCACTTTTGTCGATTTTTCGACATTTTCTGCTCATAACCTTACTTTTTTATGGTATT